AAAAAAAAAAAAAAAATGGAGAGAACAAAGAATATGATTCTATAACATGAATATTATCAGCCTTCAAAATCTCAAAGAATAAAATAGAAACATACAAGATTTCCAAGTTTGTCAAGTTTGCAAGTTGAGCTGGAACTCCTCCAGTAAAATAATTATCATTAAGATACCTACACACCATTATATTCAGTTAGTCAAAATTTCAATAATTTCCAATGGGAAAATAGGAAAATAAAACTTGGGTGCAATTCAAAAATTTGGATAGACTACGTACAAGTTGCGAAGAGATGGGAAGCAACCATCAATACGTATGAGTTCCCTAATGGTACCGACCAAGTGATTCTTACCAACATCCCTGCCAATAGCAGAATCAGAGTTAAGACTGATGAACGGTAATAGAATTGAAATATGAGATCTTTCAACAGTACAGTAAGTGAAATTTACAAGTGGCGAAGATGTTGCAGGGTGCCCAATTCAGGAGGAATTCGTCCAATGAAACGATTTTCTTGTAGGTGTAGATAGCGAAGCTCTGGAAGACTAGCAAGCTCCCTCGGAATTTCTCCCTTGAAATTATTGAAGCTCAAATATCTACAGAAATTTTTTCAGCAACCAATTTAGCCACACATAAATTAGAAAAGAGCCAAAAGAACGAAAAATAATAACCACTAAACCAAAAGAAAAGGATAGATCAACGGCAAGAACAAGCATTACTTACAAATGAGTTAAGCTCTTGAGTTCACCAATTTCAGGAGGTATAACATCTTGCAGCTTATTCCATCTCAAGTTACTAATGGGGGGAACCAAAAAAAATCAGTAACAAATGGGAGTCAAAAAAGAAACCAAAAGCTCAGAAATTTTTAAGCAAACGTGAAAGGAATCCTAAATTAGAATATGTAATTTAACACCCAAAAGTGTGGGTGGCTCTAAATTCTCTTTCCTTCTTAAACTAGATGAGCCAGTATAGTTCCAAGTCAAGTCAATAAGCTGAATGCATAAATAAATCAGGGTCCGAATGAACATCACATCTCTGAAAGAGTAGGGCAAGGAACTTACAGTATCTGAAGACGCTTCAAACGTCCAATTTGAGGAGGAATTGGACCAGTCAGCTTGTTATTATGAAAATCCCTGCAATAAGAAAACATTTAAACCTTCATTGATTGAAGTGATTAAAACTACTTTCTGTCTAACATAAGGAACAAGAGTTTTGAGATAAAAGAAAGTAAAATCCATCATTATGGAGTCGATCAAAAGTTATGACACGATAAACAGGCAGAGATAATAGAAAAATCTTAACGGAGAAAATCCATGTTTTTCCCTTCGGTTATAGTTGCTTCATTCAATGATTTGATATTGGATAAACAAAATTTTCTAATACATTAAATGAAAGAAACACTTACAGCCTAGTAAGATCCAAGAGATTGGTTACAGCAGTGGGAAAAGGGCCGACGATGGAAACCGCATAAACTTCCCTACAGTAGCAGATAAATAACCCCAGTTTAACGCATCATACAGATAAGAATCAAACAAGAACAACAAGGCGAATTGCAAACAATTATTATCAATTCAATAAACTAAACGAACAAAAGAGAAGAAAAAAGGCTTGAGATGAAATCTAATCATACAATTTAGTAACCACTCTATAATCTCCTTGAGTAGAACAAGTGACACCAGACCAAGGCGGCAGATCACCATCGCCACACGGATCATCTCCAACCCAAGAATACACCACTCTCCAACCAAGAGAAGCCTTGATCTCATTCAATGCTTTAACTGCAAAATACAAATTATTCAGTCCATTGAAACGCAAATCACAGCGAGATTTAGACAGAAGCAAGAGAAGCCAAAAGTGACGACGCTGTAAATACCATCTCGTTTAAGGGTTTTACAGAGAACAGGATCGTTCAGCATAGAGAAGCAAATGATGAATACACAAAACGCGGGCAGTGACAGTCGCCGCGCCATTCCTTCAGATCTGTGAGTTCCTTAACTTCGAGAAGTTATGAAATTCAAAAATGCGGAAAAGAAATCGATTTCGATTCGACAGATCTAAGCGAAGAAACAATTTTCAGAACTTGCGCGCTTCAAGCATAAACAATGCTCCAGTTTTCTCTTCACTACGAACTCCCTCTCGATTTGGCTCGTTCAGCAAACGCGGAAAAGTCGCTACTCGTCGGTGGCTTAACTTCAACCTTATTGATTATTATTCATTATTTAAGATATAAATCATAAATGAAAGATAAAAAAATGTAATCTTTTTAGATAAATTCAACCCAAATATAGCACCGTACAATACTTATCGTTTCATATTTAATTTTACTAATAAATAGTTCTATCACATATATAATTAAAAATTAAATGAAATATTAAACACATATTAATAAAATTTAATTTATCAATGATTATATAAATAACTTAATAAAAATAGAATATTCAATATTATTTTCACATATGAATTAAAAAATTGTTAAAACAATTATGATATTGACTTCATTTATTTAATAAATGCAAGTCACCAAATTGTCATGACAAATGTTAAATGTTATAACCCTAATGGTAAAATATTTAATTTATTTTTTTTAAAGTTTAGTATAGAGTTTTTTAGTAAAGTCACTAAAAATAATTGTCATCATCGTACTTTTTCAACCGTGCAACGTTATAATCTTGACACACTCACATCCAATCTTAAGGGAACTTAAGTTCCATTCATATTTTTCACCAAACTTTGTGGCTTCGTCAGACCATTGAACATCACTTATGGAGAATCCAAGCTTGTTCGGCCATACACCCTATTCATGTATGCATGTTCAATCGTTCTGACACAACAATATCGCATCTCATTGTCATCTCGTTTTTCAACAAGATGATCCATGCATCGTGATCCGTCTTAGATCTCAGGACATATTGGCCATTTTGGGTTGCTCGAACATCATCGTTGGAAACTGACCCAAATTTGCATTAGTGAATAAAATGTGGGAATACATGGAAATATTGGAAAAATAAAGATGATCTGAACCGTTGAAGTACAGATGGAATGATCAAACGATGATTGATGATTGTTTAGTTGCATGAAAGCAAAAGCTCTCTAATGAAGAGTGAAAGTGATTGGCAACTATACCCTTGGCCAATGAAGGAGGCCCCTCAGCCGAAGGCCATAATAATAAATCCTCCCTCTTCATGAGTCTCTCGCTCTGCATTTAAACTTCTTCCCTTTCCCTATCACCATCACCTCTCTTTTATCTCCTTTCTTCCCCGCCCTTCTCTCTCTCTATCAGAACTCGACAATGAAAGCATCCCTCTCTTCCTGTACTTCGTCTTCTGCCACCAATGCCCAGCTCTTCATGATGATATCGATGCTTCTACTCGTCTTTGTCAACTCATCTGCCACCAGACTCTCCGGTTATCCACCTTCCACCCGCATGCCAGACGCTTCTCCGACCACCTCTACCCACCCACTGCCTCACCGTGAACTGCAGCAGCTTCATCCTTGTGATGCTCTAACCCATGAAAACTCACGTTCTTTGTGCATTCACCTTTATAGAGTTTACCAACACCACCTACCTGTTCATGTCCCACAGATGCTGACACACAATGGGATTGACCCCCGATATGGCGTCGAGAAGAGACTCGTGCCCTCGGGGCCAAACCCTCTTCACAACTGAACAAGAGAAAAAGAAAGCAAAGAACGAGCAAAAAGAATCTTTATTTTTTTTTATCAGAACACAGCCATTTTATCCCTTTCCCTTCTCAGTTTTCTTGCTATTATTCCAGTAGTATATCATGCACGTCCCTTTTTTTCTCGAGTCCTATTATAGTTAAGGATCAAGAAGAATATTTAATCCTCGTGCATGACCAAAGGCAGAAGAAGGCTACGCTAATTAGTTGACAAGTTTTGTCCAATGTCATATTGTCTTGTTTTTCTTTCTTGTTTCAGGTTATTGTTGCTATTTCCACTCTTGTTTTTGCATTGAAGTGTTCGAGTTTTGGTGGCTTAAAAGTTCGACCATTGAGAGGAGGCGAACGTTGGAGTTCATTTTGATGTGAAAACTGGCAAAAACAAGCATGGAAATGGCAAGGTATTTACTTTAAGATTTGGATTTTTTATATACTTAAAAAAGAATTAGGTCATAGGCGTCGGGTTCGTAGGCGAGATTCAAAAGAAACCCATGAGTCTCATTAATTTTGGAGGCATAAGGTACAAAATGCCAACAGAGCAGGATTCATGAGGTTTTCTTCATTGGGAGGGGCACTATGGAACTTTCATTCCTAGTTTACTGTTTATGGAGTTAATGTAATTTTGCTAGAATCTGTGGAAATCTATGTATGGTAAAAGCCCCAATTGAGTTTCTTTTACTTCTTCCCTTTTCTCTTTTGAACTGGCTTTATCTTCCATTAACTTAGTCAAGAAAACGGTAGCAGCTAATGTTGAGCTCCTAGTATCTATCTACAACAAGATGAAGGGATAAGCTTTTTCATTGAAAGAATAGAATCAAAGCTTTGTACTTATTGCAACCTTATAAGACCACATGAGAAAAGAATAGTACACCAACAATTAAAGAATGTTTGATCGAAATGCTTCCAGCTAGAAACAAACAGAGGGAAGAGGCAGGATTTACTTCCCAACCAAATGACGAGCCCGCTGATTGGCGCCCTTCACTCTAGAATTCAGCTCGTCGACATCGTCGCTTAGATGATCAAGAGCTTTGTTTTGCCTGCATTTTCCAGAGAGTAGTAACCATTCAGAACTATGTAATAAGCCAACAGATTGATGAGTTATAATACAACAATATTTAGATTGAGAAAAGAGGAAGACATTTATGACCTGTCAAGCTCGCTTCCCATGTCCACAGCCATACTCTTCAGATCACCCAAGATATCACTTAAATCTGAGAGTGCATCATCTTGCATTTCCTTCTGAGCCTGAATTAACATTCTTAGATATTGGTTAAATTTGAATCCATGATAATGTTATACTCTTTAAGATAGTGAAATGATAACGGCCGACGCTCTCACCTCAACTTTTTGTATTGCACCTGTTGGTTCAGAGGGCGGTGTTTTAGTCCCCGACTGTTTTTTGCCCGTAGATACACCGAGTTTTTCCCTTTGCTCCTTGTTGTTTTCAGTTCGCCCAGAGGAATGATCTGGACAGCCGACATAATTAATAGCAGATAAAATGGAAGTGGCAGTAAGATACAAGAATGACAGTGTTTAGTGACAAGAACCAGTGAAAATATGACCTGCTGTTATAAGAGGGCCTGTAATTTCTTTGGTCTTCTTTGGCTTCCATGGCTTAGAGAACATGCCTCCCAGATTATTCAGAAGTTTCTCACCCTGTCAGTAACAATAATGAATAAGAAACCATTGACAAGCACATGGAGGAGCAATCAAAGGATCATAAAAAATGCATACATAAACAACGAAAAGGCAAGAGAAAAACTCAATCATTTCAGGCTTGCTTAACAAATTCCTAGCAAACAAAAAGGTTCTTTGTTCTTGAACATCTTCCATCACTTACAGAGTAGGACATCCACAACCTAATCGCATCGTAACTTGCAAGCCAAATATTTCGTAACTGCTAACTTTAAAAGTTTGAATAATCTGATTCTGTTTTTAATTATATCAGATCACCATGAGCCAACTATAATTTCAGGAATAACAACATAGGATAGAAATATATCCGCAAGGTGTCTGATCGAAACTCGAAAAGAGCTTACCTTACTTAAATCTTTATCCATATCAGCAGCCATCCTGTGGGTCCTCTCAATTTGCTCACCCTGCTGATGCAACATGTCAAGGGTCTTGGTAGCATCTTCCCTTATGTCCTCAGCAATCTTCAAGCAATTGTGAACAGATTTTGTGGTCTCCTCTGCTTTATACACAGCATAATTCTCCAATTCCTGCACACTTTGGTTCTCGAGTCCTCCCGAGTCACGAAAATCATTTTTGTACCTGTCTTTAGAGGCTGCAGAAGTTGCAGTCCTTCTTTTTCCAACAAAACCATCATCATCATCATCATCAAAATCGTTGGCGGAAATGGAGTTTGGTATAATGAGCACAGGCTCAGAAGAAGTTCTTCTTGCAGCATTAAGAGTTTGTTTGGCTTCAGGCCCAGAATCAGAATCAAAAGGATTAGTGCCAGATCCGCCTGATAATTCATCTACAGAATTCTGCTTAGTAACTTTCGCGGGGGATTTCATGAAACTAAACATCCTGGCTCTACAAAGAAATTCTTGAATTCTAATAAACTATCCGGTAAGCGGCTCTCAAACAAGGATCTGATGAATATAACTCGTACCTGTAAAATAGTAGTGAGAATATTTAGGAAAAAGGCCGTAATGCCAACAATTTCGATCGAAACAGAACTCCGGGAGGACAATAGATTCGCAGTAAACAATACAAAATAACACTACCATTCTACCATATAGAGACTAACAAAAAGCAACTGGAAATAAGAATGCAGAATGCAATTCAAGCGTAGAATTAGGGATCGAAAGCGAAGCGACAACCGATATTCCTAGAAATTAACCGATAACGATACAGATAAACCATAAGAACGGAAAATGAGGGTTCAAAAGGAGAGAAAAATCACAGAAATACAGTGTAAATACGAATATAAGTTCAACAAAAAGATGAATCACCAATGCAATGAAGTGGAAATAGAACGTTCAACGAAAACAATCGAGAAGGGGAAAATGAGTGTACCTGAAAATTGGAAGAGGAAATCCGAAGCAGGAAGAAAATATGAAACGAAAGCGAAATTATGGGCTTTGTTCTTGACGATTATCAGCGTGTACGATCCTTAAACACAGATAAAATTGAGAATCCGTAACAGATTGACGGGAGGCGACGCGGAAAAGCAGAAGAACTGTACGTCCCCGACTGGCTCAAAAAAAAAAATGGAGTTGAATTACGAAAGAAATATTCAGTTTGAAATTTGTTGTCCCCCCTTACAAATTTAGCCCGTTGGAATTTTCTCAGATTTCGATTTTCTTTTCCTTTACTTTTATTTTAAAAATTCTAAAAGGGGAAAAGGAAAAATAGACAGACTTGTGTTGGCCGTGCGCGCCGCACGTGCTTTTTTAAATGCTTAATAACTAAATATTAATTTTAGGCTAAATTAAGAAAAAAAAAATACTATTTTGTTAAAAAAAATAAATAATTTTAATTATTTCGTCAAAAAAAAATAATTTTAAACTTTTTAAGCGACTCTAATTATTTTTTAATAGAAATGATCTGTATTTTATTTAAAAAATAATATTAAACTTTTTTTAGAAAATCAAAATATTTAAAAAATATACTAAACTTTCCAACATTTCGTTAATATCCATTAAACATTTTTTAGAAGGTTAAAAACGTACTTATGGACAGATGGTCTCAAACATGTTTGAGGGTTCGAGAGCTGCCTTTGGAGTGGTTAGAGCTGTAGTGGCAAATTTAAGTATTAGATTAAACTTTCCTATGATAGCTGTGGAGAACCAAATCTCAACTATTTGTGGTTCGAGACATCAAGGCTCTAGAGAACTTTATCTTTGATCTCGAATAGTACTTTTGAGCCATAAATATCATGGCAGAAGAAGCGAAAATCACGTTGGCAACGATGCATCTCACCAACAATGCAAGATTGTGATGGTGATCAAAGTACATGGACATTCAAGATGATCGATGTACTGTGGACACTTGAGATGGTTTAAAACAACAACTACGCTCTCAGTTTTTGCTAGAAAATGTCAAGATACTTGCATAAAGGAAGTTCAGAGAGCTGAGACATACTGGCAGTATGCAAGACTATGTTAAACAATTTTTCTGGGCTTATGTTAGATATCCGTGATATGCCCAAGAAAGATAAGGTCTTCAATTTTGTTAAGGGGCTGAAGTCGTGGGTGAAAACCAAGCTCTACAAACAAAAAGTTGAAGACCTTTCCACAACCTATGCTTCCACCAAACGACCGTTTGATCTCAATATCAAACAACCCCAAAAGATAAGGCAAAATCAAACTTCCACTCGGAGTCCTCCCAATAGAGGGTAGAACTCTATGGCGGAGATCTCACAGTCAAAACCAAGACCTGTCGTACTTTGTATGCAAGGAGCTAATCAATAAACAAGCCACTAATACCATGCTTAAAAAATATTCATAAATTTTTAAAAATAAACATTAATACCTTTAAACTAAATTTTTATTGTTAGTAAACTTAAAATTGAAAAATAGAGATGATCTCTGTATTAAAAGAAAATTTAAACTTTAAAATATTAATTCTATTCATAAAAGTTTATAAAAATTCATAAATATTTTTGAAGTCGGATAAGAGTAAAGTTTATTAATGAAATATTGTTAAATAAAATATTAATTTTTCCGTCAAAATCAAGGCAAATTTGATCGATATTTTTTTATTATTAATTTAGCGTTTAAAATAGTCATTACATTTTATATTAATTTTCACGGCATTTTGCAAATAAGATGAAAAAAAAGAAAAAAGGAAATAGAAAATTCAAGAAAAACCAAGACGTTTGGCCTCCGTCTCCCGCGCTCCATTAGCCTGCCAGTGTTCATGTTGCTCCACAAAAGTTGAAACAAATGATGATTGTAGAAATTTTGAATTACCAGACTCGGTAATGGAGCTGCTAGTAAAATCAGCGGCGGAGTCTGTGGCTGACCTCGACGAGGAATCGTTACCTGCTGAAGAAGGAGACGAGTCTGCACACTGCTCGTTCCTGGCGGTGATCCATCCCAGCATATCAGGTAGTTAATTTTACAAGTTTGGATTACCTTGCTGGCTCTTAAGATCAATCTCATAAGACCAAACATTAAACTAATGAAATGAGTGAATAAATTGTTCCAAATATCGAGACCTAAAGCTTTTAGGAGCCATTACAATTGGTTTGGAAAGGTCAGCCTTCGATATTAATTTTCTAGGTAGGGTATTGATTTCTGCACTGTTTTTCATGTTACATAATTTGATTGGAAAAGCACGGCTGGAATAGAGGCCAGTGGAACCAGTAACATGAAGTTTGCTACGGATGGATGCATACTGATTGGAAGATTGGATGGGCGCATGAAATTGCTGGAGAGCTAAAGGTAAGCTTAGAAACTCTTGCTAGAATCCCAGAAGAATCAGTTGTAGTTTTTAAACTTAAAAGCTTTTCATAGTTATGAAAAGCAACATTTCTTACACAGGAAAGGAGCCCCACGGTTTGAGGAAGTGAGGGCATTCGGAATGAAGCATCCGGTTGGGGATTAGAATGAAGCATTCTTTACAAGGGTGTGAAAACTTCTCTCTGGCAGACACGTTTTAAAATCTTGATGAAAAGTCCGGAAGGGAAAGTTCAAAGAGGATAATATCAGCTAGCATAGGCTTGGGTCCCTAGAAGACGCGTTTTAAAACCCTGAAGGAAAGCCGGAAAGGGAGAGTCCACAGAGAACAATATCTACTAATAGTGGGCTTGGGCCATTACAAATAGTATACAAGCTAGACACCGGGTGATGTGCTAGCGAGGAGGCTAAGCCCCAAAAGGGGTGGACATGAAACAGTGTGCTAGCGAGGATGTTGGGACTCGAAGGGGGTGGACACGAGGCAATGTGCTAGCGAGGACGCTGGGTCCTGAAGAGAGGTGGATTGGTGGGTCCCACATTGATTGGAGAAGGAGACGAGTGCTAGCGAGGACGTTGGACCCCAAAAGGGGTGGATTATGAGATCCCACCTCGATTGGGGAGGAGAACAAAGCTAGGGTGTGGAAACCTCTTCCTAGAAGACGCGTTTTAAACCCTTGAGGGAAAGTCCGAAAGGAAGAGACCAAAGAAGACAATAAAAGCTAGTGGTGGCTTGGACTGTTACAACTATGTAGAACTCCTGGGATTTTTAGAAGGAAATGAAGGTTATGGTGAGGCTGACTGTTTGCTCGTTTACCAGGACTTCCGTAGTTACATAGAGTGCCCAGACAGGGTTGATGAGGCCTATCATGATCAAAAGGTAATCACCAAACTCTGTACTCTCTAATCAGCCAAGCTGCTAAACTCCTAATCGTTTGCTTGTTCTGTACAGAGATGGACCAAGATGTCGATCTTAAACACAGCTGGTTCATACAAGTTCAGCAGTGACAGAACCATTCATGAGTATACAAGAGATATATAAAAGATTTCTCCACTATTGCTGCTATCTTAAAAGGTTTGATTTCTTTTCCCTTCCCTATAAAATTTGCTCTCCAACTCATTGCTATTGTAATTGCCAAATGAGATAAGAAGACTCAAACAGGAGATGAACTCAAACATCTTAGCCTATTCAAAATTAAACCGACCCAATTGCATAAGAAGTTCGTTACAATTCTCAGAGCTTTGTTAGATCATTTCTAGGTAGAGATGTCTATTTAATCCGAACAGAACAAGGACTTTCCATTTAAACGGGGAATGGGGAAGAGAGCGGAGAGAGATTTCAACTGAGAATCACTACAAAACGACCCTAAATTCATGACTGAAACAAAAAGAGAAAAATAGGGAACCCCTCCTCCATCTCCAAGCTTAATGCCCAAACATTTGGACATGACAATAAATTTGAAATAGAGGATTCAGCTCACATGTTTGGTCCAAAAAATTAAAAAATCAGTAAAAAAGTCAAGGAACCTAAAACAATGATAAAAACAAAAAAGCAAATGCCAAAAACATGCCCTACAGACTTCATTTGCAAGTTTGATAACCTCACATTATCAGGACAAGATAGAACCAATTATCACAGACTTGCCCGTATTATTGGATTGGTGGCTACATGCTCCTGGATCCTTCATCAGCCTTCACCCCATCTCCCACTTTCCTCTTCTTCCATAGGAGCAGGAACATTAAGATCAATTAGACCACTCATCCCATTGGACTCTGGCCTTGTCACTATAGATGCCTCTTCTAAACTCCCGACCACATGGGACCTCTTATGTCCCCCCAAAGCCTGCCCTGATTTGAAAGCCTTGAAGCAAATTGGGCACTTGTGTTTCTTTTTGGCTCCTAATTTCTTCTCTTCATTTCCAGAACTGTCTTGGTGAGCCTTGTTTTTGCCATTGCTTAACTCAGTTAACTCCCTAGCTGGTATGGACATGGAATTTGTAACGCTGTTTTCACCTGACTGATGCGTCCACTCGCAGCCATTGCTCATTTTTGTATACATCTCTCTGAAATTAGGACTATATGATTCATTGTTCAACCTCTTTCTTAGCTCATACTTGTAAGAAGATGCATGCACTTGTTCATCATTCTCTTTGGTTTTTCCTATCCTCACTCCATATTTTCCATCTGGGTTCTTATATTCTTCATCCATAACACCCCGATTAAGACACACTTTCAGTTTAACTCTCTTGTAGACTTCTTGTCTGAAATTTTCAGTGTCGGAATTCTCACCGCCGCATTCATAAACGTCTAGCTTTTCCAGCCTTCCATTAGAGTGAGAGGCAAATGATTTGCTATCAGACATCATCATCAAGCACATAGCCGCCTCCCGGACTTTGTCAGGTATGTCCGATCGATTGTCTATGAACTCCCGCTTTTGATGAGGGATCCCATAAATATTGTTTTGAGAGTGAGAAGCCAAATGCCAAGTCAAAGCTTCTGAGGACTGAAACCCTTTGCCACATTCTCTACAAAACTTCTCCTGCATTAAAGGGTATCTCGAATCAGCAAATCTCTGTGTAATTTTGGGATTCTCTCTTAAGCCATAGCCTGAATTATCATTAGCAAACTCGGATTCTGAATCTCTCTTGCTTCTTCTTCTCTCTGTAGGAACTTGAAACTTCAAGATATTGGTTCTTTCCGTTTGTTTCTCGTTCTTGTGAATTCTGATATGACCTCCCAAGGACTTCCCACACGTGAAGCTTTTGTGACAAAAGTTGCACACAAACTTGTTTTCTTTAGAATTCTCCATGGATCACAGCCAAAGAAACCCAGTTAGAACAAGATCACTTGAACATGTATATAGATTTATGAAAATGATATGTTCTTGGAGGTGGGAAAATGCTGGTCAAGAACAAGATCTGACAAAAATGAAAACTGGGAACAAAAATTTGTGTAAATTGAGATGAAGAGTAGCAATTAGAACTGCACCCATGGCTCTTCCTGTCTCTTCTCCTCTCAGTCCATTTCCTCCCTTCTTTTTCTCTCTCCTTCTCTCTCTCTCTCTCTCTTCCACTAAATTTTGTTATATAGTTGGGAGAAGAATTCTATTCTGTGCATGAAAACAGAGAATGAAAAGGGCAACAAAAAGATGAAATGCACGTGTAAATAGAAGAAAAGCTTTCCCTGTTCTAATGGACGGTCTGGATTAGTGGGAGACGTCAAGAATCAACAGATGTGATGAGTTCCAAGTTTGCTATAGTCTGCAACCAAAATTATATTAAATTTTTTAAAAAATCTTTGACTTTGTCTTGCTGGTAACTTCAGAGAAGTAAAGGGTCGGATTCTACAACCGTTTTGTTGGGTTTTGGGATACACAAATTAAGTAATTGCTTTATTCTCATAATTAAAAATTTCAGGGGTTTAGTCTATTTTTAGTTATTATTTTTTATAATTTACTTTTATTCTCAACAAAATCTTTATGAACACCTTTTTTTTTTTATTTTTTTTATTATTATATATATTTATACACACGTTGATTCAGTTTTTTTCTTTTGGCTTCGATGTTTTTATTATTTTATTAGTATGAGTTGTAATTTGTGAATGTTTAATATTTGAATTTTTTTAGTTATGAATGAAACATATATAATAATTATTTTATCCTAATTTGTTTGATCTAAGTCAATTAATTTGTATTTTTGCTAAGCATTAGTTTTATGTATAACAAGCATCACATCGATGTGCAGTTTCATTATTTTGTAAGTACGCTTTTCTCGTTATTTTGTTAAGGTTTTGTAGATCAGGCGGGTTCAAAAATTTGGTTCAATACTTTCATAGTATACCGTACTAAAGAGCGATTTGTTGAAGATTATTAGGACAGGAGTTCTACGTTAGCTTTTTGTACTGTGTTATAAAAATTAATTATTAGTATCATTTAAAATAAACCAATGCTATTATTCACATGTAGATCGTTCATTTATAAAAATAATATTAAAAAAATTAAACCTCTTAGTATAAACAAAATAATTAAACTATCGATGTGTTTAAAAATAAAATTTGAAACTTATATATTATGTATAATAATTATGATAATAATATATGAAACGAGGTGAGGTAAATGAGACGAAACAAAGAATGGAGTAAAAGCAAGGACGGATAATATTTTTATTACTCCATTGCCATTAGGATCTGTCACGATCTCGAACCTTCCTAATTTATATCAATAAATGAATATTTTTTAGATGATAAAATAAAATTTCATTATAATTACTAACTATATTATTAATTTAATTGGTATAGTTTAAAATAAAGTTAATTACAGATCTGGACTCGGTTATCAAAATTGATTCATGTTTTTGCTTTGTCTATACGCCATTTACCACTATCTTTGTCTTCCAAGTTTTAACCATTATTTTATTTTATTTTATTTTTTAATTCATAAAATGGTAAAATTTCACCATAAAGTAAAAATAATAAAACAGGGACAATTAAACAATATAAAATTATTTTGGGAGGGAAATTACATTTTTTTAATAGTTGTTATATTTTGAATTCCTTTTTCAACTTTAATTATATTTTTAAAATTTAATTTCATAATTAATAATATAAAAAAATGGGAGTTGTAACGGCGCGAACCTAAAATTTAGATTCCGAATTCGCCACATAATAGCTCCAACATTTCCCTACGACATGGTCATGTTAACTATGTTTTGCTTCTTAAGAATGAAGTGTATCTCCACCGATCAACATTAGTATTTCCAGTAGATTTTGTTCTCACTCATACATTTCAAAAAAATCTAAGAGTTCCTCTAGAACTTAAGAATATTTCGAGAGCTGGAGGTCCAGATAGGACCGAGAACCAAGAGAGAGTAGAATGAGAAAATATAGGGTGTGGCCCAGGGAAAGCCTATGCGAGGGAAACAAATTCTCAAAAGAGAATAAGACACAGAATGATGAACAAGATCAATAAGACTTAACAACGAAGTATAAACTACCAACAAATTTCTTACTGAGTATCAATAAGACTTAACAACGAAGTATAGACATAACACATCACTGGTAACCGTCCGTGGCTCGAGTCCCTAAAAAATCGGGTCGTTACACCTAACCCAATATCAGGAAATTTATTCGATATATATATATAATCAAATGAAAGGCTAAAAAAAGAATTTAATTTGTAGTTTGAATGGATTTAATTATTAGGGCACTAAAATATATAATTTTTTGAAGAATAAAATGCAATAAAATAATCACAATATTTTATTATCTGGGACAAAAGTTACCTCTTATTCTCTGTACATCTGGCATCCAAAGTTGGCGTATCTGATTAATATACATATTTAATGACGCCGTTATTATTATTATTATTATTATTGTTTTTATTTTTGGATAATAATGCATAAAACTTTATTTCAATAAATTAATTGAGCATTTTTTTTTTTTTTTTGTAGTTAATTAATTAGTGGCCTATTTAAAAGATTATGTATTTGATTTGCGACAAAGCATTGATTAAGATTTAATTAATGTGGAGGTTTCAAAATCACATCTCAGCCGTCGCTTTTTCCTTTTTTTTTTTTTTTCTTTTTGTTAAAATATTTTAAAGGTCTCGATTGGGCCAAACAATTATTGGTTCAGAAAAATATATAAAGCGAAAAATGGAAAGGGGGGCATATAATGCCATAAATACACATGCTCCAGTTTAACGGGTACCCATAAACTAGAAATTCCATTCTGATTTGTTGAGATCGTCTCTTTCTCCTACTTTGCGAGTCTGAATCTTCTCTTCATCTACCCAACACGGAGTTTAATGCACCAAAACCCTAATTCCTGTTGCTGGAATGTGTTTTTGGTGTGTAATTTCTGTTATTTACTTGATTCTTATGTAATTTTTAATTACTATGGCTTGCTGTTGATTCATGTGGTGTGTGCTTTTGCTTTTTATATTTGGATCTATGTTGGTTTTGTTTCCATTTCGGGATCTGAGTTTGGCTCTTTGATTTATTAATGGAAAGTTGTGTGTCTTGCTTTCCTTCATTTTGGTTCTTGTTGCTGGGAATTTCAGGAAATGGATGATGATAATCTCGAATATTTGTGTGTGGATTTGTTGTGAGATTCATTTTTTGATGCTTGTTTGATGTGATGGATCTTTGACTCGTGTTTGCAGATTGATCCCGCTAGTGGCTCTTTGGAAACTGAATTTCTAACCATTGATCGAGCTGGATTGGTCGCATTTAAGTTCGGGTAGAAGAACTTTTCCGCAATTGGGGTTCGACATTGCTCACAATCAGTTCTTGGCTTCTGATCCGTGATTGCGCATCCAAATACGGTGCCTTCGATCTGAAATTCCCATTTTGATCGGCTTCTGTACCACTAACTTGTGTTTCTTCTTCTAACATTCTAATCTGGCAGTACGTTATGTGACATATTCGTTTATAATTGGAAGCATAAGTAGGACTTCAATGATTGTTTTGATTGCTCGTATTCATACCAATCTATATAGAAGAATACGCAACGTAGTAGGTTATGCTTTATGCTCTGCTTCGAGATTTAAACCAAAGGCGCTCCCCATTTAGAGTGGTTCTGAGCTGGATTATTGAGGGGACTTGAGAAATATTGGACATGAGAAGCTCCTGGGTCAATAAAATATCTGAAATCTTGGGCTCTAAACCACCATTCAATTGGTTAATTTTGTGCCTCATCAGCGTGCTTGCATTAATTGCAGTGCTAGGAACTTCTACTTCCAATGTCTTTGACTCAGTTACTACCACACCAGTGTATGACATTTATACTAGTTATAGAAGGCAAAAAGAAAAGGCCACAATTGATTTGTTTGACTTGAAGTATCTTTCATTAGCCACTGCACGACTGAAAGAGTTTGGGCTGTGTGGAAAAGATAGAGAAAACCATGTGCCATGTTACAATGTCACAGCAAACTTATTAGCTGGATACAAAGAAGGGGAGGAGTTTGATAGGCACTGTGAAGTGTCGAGAACAGCAGAACGGTGCCTGGTTCGTCCTCCTAAAGACTACAAGATCCCTCTAAGCTGGCCTGTCGGTAGGGATATAATATGGAGTGGAAATGTGAAGGTAACAAGAGACCAACTTCTGTCGTCTGGAAGCCCTACCAAAAGGTACTTAACCTCCACTGGACGAGCATGAATTGCACTTAGATTTTCCCCCTAAGGATTGAGTATTTAGAACCAAAAAAGTTTCTTTTTTGTAGTCATTTTCATTGATGTTAATATAAATAACCATCTTACTTTTTCTAAACAAGGTTGATGTTATTAGAAGAGAACCAAATAGCTTTCCACTCAGAGGATGGAGATGGAGTCAAAGAGTATTCTTTTCAAATTGCAGAGATGATTGGCTTAGGCAGTGACTCTGAATTTCTTCAAGCTGGTGTAAGCCTTAATCACATCAAAGAAATATAGGCTGTTTGTCTTCGTTTGTTATAGGAGTTTTGTATATTTAATGCCAACCACAAGTTAATCTAGTTGAATGTTCTTCTTTAAAATTACCCAAAGGATAAATATCATATTAAGTAATAATAGTGACCCATGTTTCTGTCCTTCCAATTATTATTATTATTTTCTTTTTGCAATTCAGTGCAGTAAAGCTATCTAAGAATCAAGGATTTGATATGTCAATTATAGGTACGCTCGATACTTGATATTGGTTGTGGGTTTGGAAGCTTTGGTGCTCATTTAATATCAGTGAATGTAATGGCTATGTGCATTACAACCTATGAGGCGACTGGCAGCCAAGTTCAAATGGCTCTCGAGAGGGGCCTTCCAGCGATGCTTGGAAACTTTATTACAAAACAGCTTCCATATCCATCCTTGTCATTTGACATGGTTCACTGTGCACAGTGTGATGTCTCTTGGAATGATAAAGGTAACTTGAGAATAAATTTAGATGTAGCTTAACTTGTTTGACGGTTACTTCATAAAAGCCTAGATGCATTTGCTTGAGGACGAGACACTTGCTATGAGTCTTCAAGATTAAGAAAGAAATAGGATGAGCACTGCTATCTACAGATATGCCAAAGCAATATGGTGCACTTACAAACCACAAAAAACTATATGCATATGCATATTATGTTCATGAACCTTCATGAGATTTTCTCAGCATCAGTGTAGTTTTATTGACTTGATATTTATAATGGGCAGGTGGGATATTCCTTATTGAAGCCGACCGGTTGCTAAGACCTGGAGGTTATTTTGTTTTAACGTCTCCCAAAGACAAGACAGTTGGAGGTTCAATGTCTTCCAAGAAGATAAACATTTTGACACCACTGGAAGAAACGACCCGAAGATTATGTTGGAGTCTTTTGGCTCAGCAATATGAAACTTATATTTGGCAGAAAACTACAGATCCTCA